TCCCTCTCGTATCATATTAAAAGATAATAATAGCAATAAATAAATAAATAAAGTTAAATAAAATTATTCTTTTTTTTTTCTACCAAAAACCCTCTTCTATAATAATTTTTTGCATTATAAATTATTATTACATATTTTATCTTTTGCATTTCCTGATCAGTCTTCATGGTTGAATGATAAATAGTACATGTAAAGATCTTAGAATAATCTGACACATAGTGAAAATTCACTAAGTTTTATGTGTTTATTATAGTATATTATGTAATGTCTTCACTTTCCAAATTTCAGAAGTTCTGTTATTTGCCTAAAGTTACACCTTGGCAAGTGCTCTAGTTATTCCATGTCTAGCTCTTTACAGCTCCCTTTTCATTGTAGGCTGTTTAGATCCAAGATAGAGGGACCAGTAGGTGGCATACCGGTTATGTCATTGGATGCCCACGTGGCTGACCATGGGCTGAGTCCCAGACCTGGTAGCTTGAAAATCATACTGGGTATGTGTGTGTGTGTGCCCAAGATCCCATGAAGAGAATGGAGGAGAAGGGATTGCAGTGTGCCCCCACATTCTCTCTATGGCCTAGAGGGTAATTTCTCACTTTCCTTCTCACCATCTCTATCTCTTTCTCTCTCTGCATGTGCCCTAAGAGTGCATGTGCCCTAAGAGTGCATGTGCCCTAAGACAAAAACCTAAAAAAAAAAAAAAAAAAAAAGCAAAAAGGCAGTCCAAGAAAGATGGTAGAGTAGGAGTTCTTTATTTTTATTTTTTTATTGCTAGAGGGTGTTTGAGCTCACCAGAGAGAGAGAGAGATAGATAGAAATAGAGAGAGAGAGGGAAAGCAGCCCTCCCATTGGGATGTGCCCAGGCTACCCACAGTCCTTCATTCCTCCTTCCTGTCAAGATTTTAGGCATGCACGCATACATACCCAGTATCCAAATTGGCTGGCCATGTGAGATCTGGCTCCCTTAACCATTGTGCTACAGAGCTGGCCATTTTTGCTTTTTCCATCTTAAACACTATTTTCTGCCTCCATTCTGCATCAAGTCTTTGAAGAAGGCAATAAGGATAACCCCTTCTTTCCACCTTTCTGCTAAAACAGATGTCTCATGCCTTTTAAGAGAAGGAAATCATTAGATTTCAGCACTAATGTTTTCCCTTTGCACATAACTCTGGAGTCCCATGTTCTCTGGGAGAAACTGTGCTCAAGAACTTCCTACCCATTGGGGCCAGCAGGTGACATGGTGGTTAAGGGCTCTGGATTCTCACATGGCAGACTGCAGTTCGAGTCCTGGACCTGGTAGCTTACTTTCTTTCTTTCTCTCTCTCTCTCTCTGTCCCTCTCTGGTCAAATTAAAATAAATAAATAAATGGATCCTACCTGTGAATGACAACTAGATTTTGTTTGTTTGTTTGTTTTTCCTTTCACTTTCTAGGTATGCAAAGGTCCACCCCAACACGAGGAAATCTGCCTGGGCCTCTTTACTCTTGTCCTCACCGAACCTGCCCAAGCCCAGAAGGTAAGACATTCTGCTCTGGATCCACAAGACCTTCATGTTTTTAGATACAATCTGGAAATGTGGTGGAACTGACAGTTTAACTGGGAAAGTGTCAAGCCCTTAAACCAAACCTGGATCACCTTGTTCTTCAAGTGTAGTTAAAAGTCCCTTTTTACTTGCAGTGAATTAGTCACTCTCTGATTAAAGTCCTTTTCTCTGTCTCCAGATTCTGAAGTGAAAAGACAAGAAAAGGCAATTGTGAGAGTGAAAATGCACTTAGCATTTTAAATTTTATGTTTATGAGGCAAGGCTAAAGAGGTTGGAATTTAATCCAGGGAGGAGGAGACTGTAACCAAGGCCATGGGAGCTCTTTTCCAGAAGAGCATGACTTATGGTTTGCAAGTTCTACCATCAGCAGGTGACTGAAAAGCAAGCGTAAAATTCTAGCAAGTAGGGTTTAAGTTAGACAGCTTAATTTTACCTGACCAGTGAATAATCATGCAAATAAGTAATGAAGAGAAACATTGGAGCACGTGGAGTTAGACTTTCTGAGGAATATTGTATGAAAATTCATTTGAGGTTCTTTACAGAGTCTCCTTTATGTGAAATAGTTTAAGTAGGATCCTTCTCGTTTGTTGAGTAAATTAGTAACAAATCTTCAATCTCATTTAACTCTCCTTATTATATGCATTCTGTAATAACTTCAAATATTTTACTCAAACTTATACTTTCATCAGTTATAAAATATTTATTTATTTATTTATTTATCTTCAGAGAGTTTTTTTTTTTTTTTTTTTTTCTTGAGAGGTTTTTGCTATAGGGTGCTTGCGCTCGCCAGAAAGACAGAGAGAGACAGAGACAGAAAGCGAGCAATCACCTCCCGGGGCGATGGCCCTGCTGCAATCCCTTCTCCTCCATTCTCCTGTTGGAATCTTGGGCACGCACACACACGCACTCAGCATGAGTTTAAGTCACTGGGTCCGGGACTCAAACTGCGGCCAACTACATGGGAGTCCGGCGACATAGCCATTACACCAACTGCTGGTCTCATGGAGAGTTTTTGACTATAGGGCGTGTGCACTTGCCAGAAAGACAGAGACAGAGAGACAGAAAGTGAGAAATCACCCCCCAGGGGGGATGGCCACACCGCAATCCTTTCTCCATTCTCCTCTCAGGATCTTGGGCATGCACGCACACACGCCCGGCATGAGTATAAGCCACCAGGCCCAGGACTTGAACCATAGTCGACTACATAGGAGTCAAGCGACATAGCCATTATCCTAACTGCTGGTCCTCATCAATTATAAAAATTAAAATGTTAGTTTAAAAACAATGAAAGTTCCAGACTAAACAACACTGGCCCACTTACATTCATGCAGTTGTGAGTGGTCCTTGGACAGCTACTGCTTCAATCTCAACTCAGCCTCCTTTGGGCAAAGCAGCAACCTGGTAAGCAGCTCTAGCAGGAAAGCTACTCTTGAAATAATACTGTTTGTAGATTTTGTTGACAGTACTGAAGTCATTTATGTTAACCAGCAAAGTAGTTGTTTTCACCACATTACTGTAGTCACAACCGGCTGCTTTCAGAATCTCGCCCTTGTTTATAAGAGCTTGCTTAGCTGCTTCTGCCACCCCTCCTAGCACAAGCTGTCCACTTGAAGGCTTTATGCCCAGTCGTCCTGAAATGTAAACGGTCCTGTCCATTAACACAGCTTGACCACAGGGACCAATGGCCCCTGGGGCTTTTGTGGTGCTGATCACTTTTCGGACGAGGGACAACATGACTAATTCTCTCTTGCTGCCCCCTCTGGGAGAAGTAGCCCTAACCCAGCTTTTCTGCTTGCTTCCCAGCAGACTGACCACCTCCAGGCATTGTCTCCACCCACATATGTCTGCGGATGGCCTGGCTTCTGTTCTTTTAAAAAGTGTCAAAATTCTGTCTTTTGCCTCTCCAGATTTCCCCTTTCCAGTAATTCTATGTCCTTTGAGTCTTAGCATGACTTAAAGTATGTATCGGCATCTGGCTCTAACTATGAGACTAACTAGAAAGGAGCTCGGGGGTCGAGATTGCAGTATTCTCCTTGGCTCTTTCCTGAACCAGGGGTGGGGCAGGGGGAGAGATGCTGTGTACCAGTATTCTATCAGGCTCTATCGAGGCAAGGTCTCATTTGATCCTCCCCGCAAAAATATGAGGTTGGTAGCTTCACCCACTCTCCTAACCCACTCCCATCTTACCTGTGAGGTAACTTGGAGATCAGAGATGCTGTCATTTGTTTAAGGAGAAGCAAAGGAAACTCCTTCCCAGGGACACGGACAGGATGCTCATGGTCCCCTGGTATAGCTGCTTGAATTAACCTGAGAGGAAGGATTTATGGCGTTGGAACCTTGATGTGTTTGTACTGCCAGTGGGGATAGGGACTGGGGTGAGGGTGGGTAATGGGGCAGCAGGTATTCACAAATCTTTTGTTTCTTGGGAGAGCACAGGCCATTCTGGGCTGGGACTTTGTTGAGTTAAATTGCCATTTCATTTCCATACAGAATTTATCATCAAGATCCTGTAGACAAATGAATAGTGCCAGTGTACTGGTGTTACACAGGATATGACCCATTCCAGCCCATTAATAAAAATTTATTTTAAGAATTATTTTATTCATTTATTTATTTTTTTTTTCACATGAGTTTTGCCATAGAAAGACAGAAAGGGAGAGTAAGAAAGCGAGCCACCAGGTCCAGGATGCGAACCACAATTGGTTGTGTGGGAATTTCAGCGCTTTAACCACCACAACACCTGCTGGCCCCACCCCATTCATAAAATTTTAAAATTTATTTCTGAACTATTTTAGATCTTTTGCTCTCAATAGAAAGAGAGAGAGAGACAGAAAGCAAGAAATCACTCCCCAAGGGACAACCACACCTCAATCCCTTCTCCTCAATTCTCCTCTCTAGATTTTGGGCATGTATGCACACGCACCCAGCAAGAGTTTCAAGTCGCTGGGTCTAGGACCCCAACCATGTTCGACCATGTGGGAGTACCGTATCTTTTTATTTTTTTAAGAGGTTTTTGCTATAGGACGCATGCGCTCACCAGACAGACAGAGCCAGAGAGACAGAAAGCGAGAAATCACCCTCCAGGGGTCTGGCCACGCTACAATGCCTTCTCCTCCGTTCTCCTCTTGGGATCTTGGGCACGCACGCACATGCGCCCCAGCGTGAGTCTTAAGCCACTGGGTCCGGGACGCAAACTGCTGGTCCCCCGCATCTTAACCACTATGCCATCTACTGGCCCCCAGCACATCAGTTTTAAAGAAATTATTAGCAAAGATGGGGGTGGATGAGTTGGAGTTAGAGTTTAATTTTCTCTTGTGTAGGTATTTTTGTTTTTAGATCTTGTTGCCACAGGGCATGTGTACTCATCAGAGAGAGGGAAAGTGAGAAATCACCCCTGAGAGAGGATAGCCATACCACAGCCCCTTCTCCATTCTCCTCTTGGGATTTTGGGCATGCATGTGGCATGTTTTTCTGGCCACCAGGTCCAGCACTTGAACCACAGTGTCAGCCATATGGGTTCCAGTGCCTTAAACACCATGCTCCCTGTTGGCCCTCCTGTATAGGTTCTTATAATTCTCATCTAGTCATCTCAATGCCAATTAGTCTGCCAACTAGAAAGTTTTGTTTATTGTTCCGTTTGTTTTGATGGAATCTGATCGGCCAGGTTAAATTAGAAAAATCTGTGAAGGGGCAAAATGTCAGTATGGGTACAGTGTTTCTAGCCTTTTTTTTTTTTTTAAGAGACTTTTGCTATAGGACATGTGTACTCGCCAGAGAGACAGAAAGCAAGAAATCACCCCCCAGGGGGATGGCCATGCCGCAGTCCCTTCTCCATTTTCTTGGGATTTTGGGCATGCATGCACATGTGCCCTGTTTGTATTTTAAGCTGCTGGGTTTGAGACTCGAACACAGTTGACTACGTGGGAGTCCAGCGACGTAATCCTTACACATCTACGGTTTTGGTATTTCTAGTTCTTTGCCTGGACTAGGAGTGAGAGACTGCTGACATTTGCTTTGTAGATGCTTATTATTGGTAGTATTTGGTCTCAGACACAGTAAGGGACTATAGTATCCTCCTTCCTTTTGCCCTGTGGCAGCCCTGTGAGGGAGACCCTCCCCTTCATGAGAGGTGAAGCAGCTTGCAGGGGCGGGGGGTCTCAGAACTGGTTGACAGCTGTGCTGGGGTCCTGTGCACATGCTGCCGTTTCCAAGGAAACTGCCGATCTGTGAGTTCTTGGGCCATGTCCTTAGGCCAGGTGGTAGAGTGAATTAGGGCATGAATTCAGGGGACTAGCAGATGGCATAATGGTTACATCACTGGACTCCACGTGGTCAACCACGGTTTGAGTCCTGGGCCCAGTGGCTTAAAACTCAAGCTGAGCATGTATGCCTGCATGCCCACAATTCTGAGAGAATGGAGGAGAAGGGAATGCAGCATGACCATCCCCCATGGGAAGTGATTTCTCGCTTTCTGTCTCTCTTTCTCTCCAGAAAACGCACATGCCCTATAGCAAAAATCTCTCTTAAGGAAAAAAAGACATGGTTTTAGGCATGAGGTGCTATCAGGTAATGACTCATTGTGTCAGATCAGAGTGTGGCAGAAGAATTCCCTAGAGCTTTCATCCTTTTCCCTAGAAGAATGACTATTTTGCAAACTACTTCTGTCCTTCTTAAGTTTTAGGTGGTGCTACTGGTGAGGACTGATATTGTTTAGGCTTCAACTTATAACAAGGGGACTGTTTTCTATGGGTTTATTTGCAATTCTGCCTTTGGAATGGTGCCCTCAGGATGGATTTGAGATTCAGTTTTTCCTGAATCTCTACTGGGAGGTGGGGATGGTAGAGAAGGACGTAGTAGGCTGGGTCATGAACACATTGGAAACCTGCTCTGGGAAAGTAGGAGCTGAGGAGCCCGTCAGTACTTACAGGCAGGATGAAGGCATTAGAGACTTCACGGAGACTGGAATTTCTTAG